AGTGATGATGAGATGGGCTCATTGGGAGGAGACATGTGTGCTTCTACGACTGGTGTGGTAAGGATACAGTCTAGGAAAAAAGCAGAGATGTTCCTGGTACGCACAGATGGATTTTCCTGTACAAGAGAAAAAGTTACTGAATCTAGCTTGGCATTTACTCACCCAAGTACCCAGCAGCAGATGCTCATGTGGAAAACTCCACCCAAGACGGTATTGTTATTGAAGAAGCTAGGACAAGAACTCATGGAAGAAGCCAAAGAGGTACTGTGGTGTCCTGCTCATTATTTATATGAGTGTTACGAGTTCGAAAATATTTCTGGAACCTAGAAGTATTACGAATTTGATAATGACTATGCAATTTGCATATAGATTTAGTTTTGGTACATGGACCTGCATACTTGCTATGGTTCAGGCCGCAAACTTTCTGATGGTCATTGACTTCATATATAGGAACTGCATAGAAGGTTATAGCCTTTTGACTTGACCTTAGGAAATGCTTTGTTAGGTCTTACCTTGTTTATGAGCTTTCATGATATAAAACTGGCGCGGAGCTGCGCTTGCTAACCAATTGAGGGTTCAGTTCCTATTCTCATTTGACATTGATGGAATGGAGCTTGATTAAGGCTGTTTTTTATCCTGATCTAGAACTACTAAGCCTAGTTGTCAGATCAATCACTCTCCAGACCAGTGATTCTCTATCAAGTGCCATCTTTAGGGTGCATATTCATTTGTTGAAATGTGGCTCCAGTTAGAAGGTCTACTATTTATGACATGATATATTGTTAAATGCCGTATCCTTTATGTCTGGAGCATACAGTTATGTGTAGATTGTCAGTGTATTCTTAGAATTTGTCCCTGTTTCTTGGAAAGAATCAGCTACTTTCCCCCTCCAATGTCAGAAGATGAGTTACGTTGATAAAGAGAGTTCATCGAATCACCTGATATATGATTTAGTTCGAACTAAATTCTGCATTAACATGCAGGTGGCTTCTTACTTATATCACCAAGAAAATATGAATGTCATCGTGGAACCGGATGTTCACGATATATTTGCTCGAATGCCAGGTTTTGGCTTCATTCAAACCTTTTATAGTCAAGATACAAGGTAATCATCTTAATGTCAATTGAAAAGATATGCTATATTCATGTGTAATTAGCTTCCACACATAGCAGGTTTCTAGTTCCTATTCCTAAGCTTGGTGTCCACTTGGTGCAGTGATCTTCACGAGAGGATTGATTTTGTGGCATGCTTGGGAGGTGATGGTGTTATACTTCATGCATCTAATTTGTTCAGAGATGCTGTTCCTCCTGTTGTTTCATTTAATCTTGGATCGCTTGGTTTTCTCACTTCTCATAGTGTAAAATCTTCAGATCCTTTTCTCATTTGTTATTGTACTGCTTCTTGTCCCTTCCAACTGGCTGTTTAGCAAACTGATACTTTTTCGGTTTTTTATTCTTCTGGGTGTAGTTTGGAGACTACAGGAAGGACCTAAGAAAGCTGATCCACGTGAACAACACGGTTGGTGTGTATATAACTCTCCGGATGCGTCTAAGGTGTGAAATCTTTCGCAAGGGACAAGCAGTCCCTGGGAAAGTAGTTGATGTCCTGAATGAGGTGGTTGTTGATCGGGGTTCAAATCCATACCTTTCCAAGATTGAATGCTATGAACACGACCGACTTATAACCAAGGTTGGATATCATTCTCCTTGACCCAAGTCTTCGTTACAGAGACATCAGAGTGTTTAATATTAAAAGGGGGCAATTAGGTCCTCATTATTTGGCCCTGCATGCTTCTTGTCTCTCCCCTTTACGAATTCAGTCTCTTTTTAGGTGCAAGGTGATGGAGTAATTGTGGCAACTCCTACTGGCAGCACTGCTTACTCTACTGCAGCTGGAGGGTCCATGGTAAGAACTTCTTTCCCCTCTTTTTCTAATTCGTGCCTTGCATAGCATTTAGCAAGACCTAATTTTTTATTGATCTCAGTTACTCTGTTGCTGACTGTTCACTGACATGTGAACGTTAAATTTAAAGCTGAAAGTTAAACGCTGTGCTGAAATGCTTTTTGTTCAGGTACATCCAAATGTTCCTTGTATGCTCTTCACTCCAATTTGCCCCCATTCCCTCTCATTCAGGCCAGTCATACTTCCAGATTCCGCGAGGCTCGAGTTGAAGGTAGATAGAAGGGGAAAATGTCATCTCTATTTCAGCTAAAGGATCTAGTTCTGATCAAAAGTGCAATCTTACTGAAACAGATTCCTGAGGATGCTCGAAGCAATGCGTGGGTTTCATTCGACGGGAAGAGAAGGCAGCAACTATCGAGAGGAGATTCGGTCAAGATATCGATGAGCCAGCACCCACTTCCTACTGTTAACAAGTACGACCAAACCGGTGACTGGTTCCACAGCTTGATTCGCTGTCTCAACTGGAACGAAAGGCAAGATCAGAAAGCCCTGTGAAGTTATTCTCCCACGAGGTTCGTCAGTGTACATTATTACTGTACAGAATTGCAGTATAGAACGACTATAGAAGTTTCTTCTTCCTTTTACAGTTAGCAAGTACCTACCTTATACGTCCATCAACATTATTGTTAACTCCCATCCACCATATATATGGTTCTAGAGAGGGTGGGAAGGGTACATTGAAATATTTTTTGGGCACCTTCCAGTATTGGGAAAAATGGCTGTAACCCATATACCTTCGATGATCAGTGCCCATAATGAAAATAATACTCCTTTTACCTGATTTCTGGGAACATTCTATTTTCTTATGAAGTTGGGTTGGCAGTCGGAATCGATGTTTGTGGATCGAAAAAACCTGATCGAATGTTTCTTGATTACATTTCATCCCTCAAGCTTCAAGCTTAAGACTTTTTGGTTTTTGATTGCACTGAATCTCATTGTATATGAAGAAACGAACCACATTTTTCATCATCTGTCATGATTTTTCGGTTTGATTCTTACACCGATTCAGTCCGATCCTAGACCCAACCAGACCGTACTCGCTCGTAGGACTAGTGCATCTTCTTGGCTGTGTCATTGGAGATAGCTACTAATCAAAATAATGAGTTTCTAAATCTTGTGATCTGGCTGTGGTCCAACTTAAAAACAAAACATTTCTCAACTATGGTCTGGTCAGAGCAATAATTGCTGTGTCATAATCTCACAATAATGGTAACATACCAGCCTCTTTTTGACAAAATCACAATGTTTGGATTAGTCAACCCTTCCTACCCAGAAATAGAAAGAAAGGAAGAACATCATCACCATCATCATCATTTACCTAACTAAGGATAACAGCTCTTGTTTGTTTGGTTGGAGACCATGTGGCAAGACTAGAATGGGGGAGCTGTTTGGTTTCTGCGTGACAAGAAGTCATATATAGTTGCTTACTATGGAAGGGTATGGTTAGGTCAAGAACAATGTAGTGAAAGAACTAAAAAAAAATCCCTTTCATGTGGTGCATTTCAACTCACCCAAGTCATCAATCTAGAGTCTTCACCCAAAAAAATTTAATGGTGGATTAAGGGTTGCTAGTCTTCATTCTCACTACAAATCGATTGAGGAAGGTAGTTTTGGAGTTGCAACATAAGTAAAGCGTTAGAAAAGCTTACAGATTTACTTGTTCATTAGTTCGCTACATTTTAAAATTTACTTGTTATTGAAGGGGTCTGTGGTGGAGACGAATTTTAACCAGATAGGATTTGGAGTTAGAATATCCGAATTGGAAATCAATGGTAGTACCGCTAAATCAAATCCTTATGGGCTATTTGTTGCTTGTAAATTTGTGATAGAATCAGGGGAGGAGCGAATGGAAAGAAAGGAGGGTCTCGAGATACACTCGGTTAGGATTTAGGAACCCACTTAAGTTTTAGAATATAATATGAAAAATTATGAGAAACAATATGGTAAAGATGAATTTGAACACTAACTTCATTTATCAGTTTACATATATTTATCGATTAAATATAAATATATGTTGAATTTTAGATGAATATAATATACCATTATAATTTGTAAATGATTATGACATCATTTGTTTATCGATTAAATATAAACTAGTATGTAATTGTTACCAATAAATGTTTACTAAATGTTGATGTGGTGTAGGAATTATTTGTAGTGCATCATAATTCATAGACGTGTCCATATAAATATATTTTATAATACGATACACTATGTTTTTTTATAAATTAAAGTAAGACTCTATCCCTTTAATTGTTTATTCTCCACTTCGTCAACCTCTAACTTATCGAAGGTTCTTCTTTGTTCTCAACCTTGATAATAATAAATGTATTTTAGATGTTTTTTGAAATATGAAAATACGTCAAAGATCGTTCTAAAAATCCAAACAACATCAATTTACTAAATTTGTTTTTAATTCAAACCCACATCAACTGAAATTTTGACACCATTGGGTATAATTCGAACATTACGTTATGTCATCATTAACAACTAGTGAACTCAATATAATAGTACATAAAAAAGAAATTAAAGTACATTTCTGGTTTGATTTTTTCAAATTTTGTATTATACAAAAGAAGATTAAAATATGGGGTGGCATTCATATATGGATTCCCACCAACAAACACATGCTATGCTAGTTTTTTCCTCTTATGCAAAGTGCACCAACTAGCTAGGAAAAAAAAAAGAGAGGAAAAAACAAGAACAGAAAGATTCACTGTATAATAGTAGTTCTCCATTAGAATATGACATATATATAGTATATGCTACAGAGAGCCAACCAAGTTCATGTATGCATAATGCATTTCCCCCCAACCATTCCATCTCAAAGCCAGTAGTAACAATACATGATAGACAAATCTAAATCCAAAAAAACACACACACACAGACTGTCACTGATAACCCACTTCATTTCTCCCAACACATTATGTATTGTTCAGAGAAAGAGCAAACCCTTTTGGCTATCAAGTAAAAACAAAATGAAAAAGGGGAGAAAAAACACAAAAAGGAAACCCAACTCACAGTTGGAAACCACACATCACATGGCTCTAACAGCCTGAAACCTTGGCTCCTTAGGGTCAAACTTCTGCTCTGCATAAACAGACATGTAGTCCCCAAACACAAACTCAGGGTACCCAAAGGCCTCAACTCCCACCCCACCATTCTCCACAAGCTGTGGAGCTGGAGCAATGGTGGCCTTCATCGACGGGTTGTAGAACGACGCGATCGACCTCCTGTTGCCATCTGGCTTCGCCTGGACTCGATGCCAGGCGCTCTTGTACCTGCCGTTGCTCAGCACCTCGACCTGATCCCCGGTGTTGATCACAATGCTGTTCCTCATCGGCTGCACATCGAACCACTCCCCGTCTTTCAGCACCTCGAGCCCTCCAACGACGTCGTCCTGGAACAGCATGATCACCCCGCCTGCATCGGTGTGGGCCCTCAGCCCGTTCACCATCTCGGGCTTGGGGCAGGGTGGGTAGTGGCTCACTTTTGTCCCAAAGAAGGCTTCCTCTCCACCACTGTTGAATGCATTCTTGATGTAACTTTTTGGTAAACCCAAATTCTCATCCATCACTTCCATTACTTGCCCTGCAAGTTTCCTCAGCTCTGCCCTGTACTCTGCCATTGTGTCCCTGAAATGTAAACAGGAAATTAGAGACTGAAAGGGAGCAAAAACAGGGGAATTGATAAAAAAGTGATCTTTTTTTTTTTGTGTTCTTACTTGAATCCAAGGGTTTTGGAGGGCCACTCATTGTGGTCAAGAAGTGTGATGACATCTTCCCAGTCAACATTCTCCAGCTTTTGGCCATCAGGCAGATCACTGAGGGATTTGAACAGTGGGGATTGCTTGAAATTCTGCTCTCTTTCCAGCTTGAAGAACTCTGTGCAGACCTTCTTCACCCTTTCAAGGAGCTCCTCTGAGATCCCATGGTTCACCAGCTGTTTACATGAAAGAAAGTGAAGAAGTTGGAATCTTTTTTTCTAAGAATGGTTCCCCCAAAGGTAAAAAAAAAAAAAAAGAAGCTTTGTAAGATATTATTATCTTACCTGAAAGAATCCCCACTCCTCACAGTGCTTGGCAATGAGAGCCATGGTTGCAGCCCTTTCCTCAGGACTAGCACCATTGCCAACCTTGGAGAAATCAACCACTGGGATAGCCATTAAAGGAGGGGGAAGAAAAAGCTTTGAACTTTGTAAGGCTTCTGTTTTGGTAGGTGCTGGGTTTGCAGTGAAGAAGAAAGGAAGGTACAAAAGGCTGGATTTTATAGGGGAAACATTCTCAAGGCCACATCATCTCCATCTAAAGGTCAACTCTTTTTAATCTTAAGAAGAAGAAAAAATATAGCTTCTTGATGTTCCATTGTTTATTGGGTTTGTCAATTCTTCCTTCTCCTTTGCCTAGCTAGGATTGAAGGTGAAGCAACGAGAAGAAAATGATGTGTTTGTGTTTGGGAGGAGGAGTGGACGGTGACCAAAAATCTTTACACATCAAATGTCTCATAAATTCATGCAAAACCCTCTTTTGAATTGTAATTAGTAGAATCAAAGGTCAATGGTAGCTTGTGCATGTGGACATATGGTTGCCCCTAATACAAGCATCCGTCACTTTTAACCGGCCTACATCAATTTCCCTTGTATAAAGCTTAGGCACCACGTACCATTCACAATTTTTTACTTGAGGGTTGGTTAAATATTTTTGAACTATTATTCTAAACAAATGGTTTCTATCTCACGGTCATTAAAAGTACACAACATCTTGCATGTGGCATATGATAATCAATTGGAATTTTTTTCTTTTTTTTTTTTTTGTCTCTTTTTATTCTAAAAAAATAAAGCACGTATATCGTTAGATAAACCGGAACTCGGGTAAGAAAAAAGGTTTAAAGGGTCAAAGTGAATTTTTGTCTTTTAAAAAACAGAAACAACTGCAATCCGTGGCTTTCTGTTTCGTGTTGAGTAATCCTAACTTATAAATAATTAAACTTAAGTTTTTAATATGACCATTCTGATAATATTTGAGCAAATTCTGAGATATTTTTGTTATTATATAATTAGTAAATTTTGTATTCATCTCAATCTTCATCCGACAACAAGACATTATATATTCATCCCAATCATCATCCGATGAGCAAGAGTATGCAAAGCTTAAAATGTTTGACTACGAACTCCAGCTTGAACTCCAGCAAATGGAGGATAAGGAAAGTGCATCACTTCCCCAGCAAGTTGGCATCCGAGGCTTCACTAAACGTCATAGAGAAGTTTCCCATCAACTCTTGAAATCTCTAGTGTTTGATCGTATAGTGAATGGAACACCACAGTTGAGATTTAAGATAAATAACAAATGGCATAATAAATGTTATTATCTAGTTGATGGTATCTATCCTTCATGGTCTACTTTGGTAAAAACAATTGCTAATCCCGTTGATGCCAATGAATCTTTATTTACTAAACGTCAAGAAGGATACATAAAAGATGTAGAGAGGACATTCAACATTTCCCAATCCCGTTGAGAAATTGTACGCAACCCTGCTCGAACTTGGGATATGCCAACATTGAGTCGATTGTTTACTTTTATTTTCAATTTCAATAAGTCAATTTAACTTGTTAACTTGAATTATATTATATAATATGATAGTTGAGGATGAACAACTTGGTGATTTTGATGAGATGCATGGTCCAATTGATTATGAAGAAGTTGAGACACATATATATCAAAACAGGCCGACACTATAGCATTATTTGGCTCGTAATGCATTGATTCGTGACGGTGATGAACATAGAATGCTCAAGACGGATTTAATTGAACATCTTTGGACGGTACCTAGACGTGAGTAGTGAGTTTAAGAGGGTTCGAGGTTTGAGTTTGTTCAAGTGCTTGCGTTTGTTTGAGTGTGTTTCAAGTGTGTCATACTAACTGGCTTGTTACGCAGCCATCTTGACATCTAGTCTGTTGAGACCAACTCGAGCCGCCATCTCCACGAGGGAGAGGAAACCGCTCGGCGACTTAGGTTACAAAGAGGGGCGCTCGATCACTGACCCCAAAAAATAATTCAAGACCCAACTTAAATCATTCAGTGGTTAATGTTGAGTTGGCCTTATAAAAATCATTAAATTCTCAATAATTAATGAACATGGTAGAAAGTTATTTATTAAGGGTAAATAGGTTGTAAATAATATTAACTCGTATGCACTAAAAGGAAACAAAAGTCTAAAATTATATTTTTAGTGGAAAACAAAACTTACCGCCTAATGTTAATCCCAATAGTTCAGAGATCTTTACTAAGAGGGTTGATCTGATTCCAAGAAAAGATGGACCCCTTCAACCAGAAGCAGCAATAGTACTTCACACAAATCCATTATAAGTTTGGTCCTTAAAAATTCGTTAATATTAAAGTTCATAATAATTATAATTCTACCACGTACAAATCCTGTCGACATTTCCAATTCTCTCCAGAGAAGCAAGTGGTCTCATATTGTTTTGCTGTCATGTCGTTTGCTACATATTGAGCTTCGTTCTAATTAAGTGTCCAATAATAGGCTGTCCTGGACACAGTGATTTTCATGGTGATATATTCTCTCTGGTTTCCAGTCATGCTTTCACCGATGACTGACAGATGTGTCAAAGATGTACAAAAGCATGTTTTTGTAGGTTGGTGCCTGCCGGCCGTGGTTAGCTAAGGCCCTGTTCACTTCCATTTTCGTTTCCTGTTTTCTGTTTTCATGTCATAAATTTGGCAACCGAAACGAGAAAACTTGTTTACTTTTCATTCTGTTTTCTATTCGTTTCCAACTATGAAAACAGAAAGTGGCAACTTCCTGATGTTTTCGGAAACGACAAAATGTTGTTTTCACCCGTTTTCAACATCTGTTTTCTCAAAAACAGGAAACAGAAATGAAAGTAAACAGGGCCTAAGCTGCGTAGCTGCTGGCTTCTCCATGATCATGACAGTACGTATATTCATTACATGTCGTATGATCCAGTTCAGTTCGGCCAGTAAAATTGATGGCGGTTTGAGCCGTCAATGCTAACTAAAGAAGGCCGGCTTAGCCGAATAAGGGTGATACTATATACTAAAGAAAGTTTCAATGTTTGATCACTCGAATGTTTCTGTCACTCAAAAAGTTTCCTAACAATTTTTCGATATTTGCTTGAGATGGATACATATTCTATAAACTATAACCAAGTATTAAGTAGGATAAATCTTCCTAAACACTTCACATAACTCTCTCCTATTCATTATTTCCAAACATGTTTAGGTTTCTTTGGGTATAGATTGCCATATTCAAGGGCCCGTTTTGAGGCCGTTTGCTCAAATATAGACATTTGAGAGTATAGAAATTTGGATATGTAAAGTTTGTTAGAAAGCGTTTAAATAACTCATTTGTATAATATTACCATTCTGTCATTCCATTTAATATGGTAGCAAATGAGTCGTACTAAATCACTCATCCAAACTTTCTAACTCGGTAAAAGAGTTGATTAAAGAAGTTGACAGACGAAGTCCCTTTTATGTGATGTGAAAGATTTATACTACTTTGACACCAGCCGACATATAATTGGGGAATTATTAACAAGCAGCTAAACGGACGGCCGTCTCGCCAAAGTGCATTTTATTACTGACTCTACGTTGTTTTCACGGTTACGTACGTTCGAGACATTTCACATTTGCGAAAGCGGCCGGTAAAAAAAGTATCCATATGAACCGTTGACTTGGTGGAAAAGGGGGAAGAGTAATTATCACGTATACGTACCAAGCTAGGTAGCATGTTGAAATATTCAAAGGTCATCAAATTGTATAATCAATCTTCCTAATAGTAATTACGGATGGTTTAAACGTATATATGTACGGTAACTTCAACCGTAAATTACTTTGAGAAATTGTTTTTATGGTCAATGAAAATTTCATCAATGCTCTAGACTTGTCTCAACGGAGGCTACCTTCAAATGTACAACAATAACCATGGCATGGTGTTACCATCTCACTCTCAATTCTCTTAAGCTAAATTAGGTCACCCGTAGCTAGGCATCAACGGATTTTACTTTGGATTCTCGTCACACTCACTTGTATGGATGATAGAAAAACGAAAATTGGGGTAATTGTAGGGTTTGAAGAGGAGAGTTGGAGATGATGAAGAAGAATTTGAAGAGAAATGGGAGGAAGAGGTCGGCATCCTGCGAAAGAGCACGTAGCCTAACGGCACCGTCTGTTATCTGTGAGAAGATCGATCCTGGCCAAACGACCCGGGTTCGATCCACGGCTGCACCTGTATCACTTCCGTAGGCACGAGGTGTATCCTTACCCTCGAGGATGGACATGGCCTGTGAAGCCGCATACCCGAGTTAACCTGCTCGTGGTGTTACAATGTGGCAACCATGAGTAAGGGTTCTCGGTTATAAAAAAAATAAAAAGGTCGCGCGTTTCTAACAATGGCTCATAGCACCAACTCCATACATACTGATTTATGTTAGGGCGCGCTAACACCCAATTTGGTAGAGCATGATACTAATATTAGTTCCAGCCAATATGAATATTTTGTTTTGATAACTTTTTTTGTGTAGAAGTTTTGATGAGTTTTTATATCAAAGGAGTTTACCAAAATTAATGCAAATTTTTAAGGGGAGGATCACAATTGTCATATTAAAAAATTATAGGGGGAACACGCGTATGTCACTGCTAATTTATTTTGTTTCCCTTCCTTAGCTGAGTATCTTAAAGAATACTAGAAAATGCATACCAGAAACACGATAAATCACAAAAAAAATATATTAAGTAGACCAGAAAGTTCATAAACCAGACCATAAACTCACCACACTACCAAACTCAAAGTTGACCACAAGTTTTTCAAAACAGACCAAACAAACTCATAAAGTTACTACAACTCTTATGAAGTAGACCAGAAAAACTCCGACTTCACCAAAAACATGACAACACACCACAAAACTCAAGAAGTAAAGCAGAAACCCCATAAAGCATACTAGAAAATATCGAAAGCATACCACAAAGCTAACCACAAGTTTCCTGAAGCTAACCAAAAATCTTATAAAATTGACCACAAGTTCCCTCAAACATATCAGAAAATGTAGAAAGCACATAATCAAGCTGACCACAAGATTCCTTAAGCAAGTAAGAAACATCATAAAGTTTACCACAAGTTCCATA